GGGCAGCAAGAGCCAAGCTCTATCTCAAAAAAAAAAAAAAAGCTGAAGGAGAGAGCATGAGAGTTGGGACAAACTGGATACATTCATAGAAATCTTCAGCAACATCATCACGATTATTATTATTCAAGACAGAGTCTCACTCTGTCACCCAGGCTGGAGTGCTGTGGCACGATCTCGGCTCACTGCAACTTCCGCCTCCCGGATTCAAGCGATTCTCCTGCCTCAGCCTCTCGAGTAGCTGGGACTACAGGCATACATCACCATGCCCGGCTATTTATTTATTTTTTGTATTTTTAGTAGAGATGGGGTTTCACCATGCTTGCCAGGCTGGTCTCAAACTACTGACCTCGTGATTCGCCCACCTCGGCCTCCCAAAGTGCTGGGATTACAGGCATGAGCCACTGTGCCCCGCCAGCAACATTATTAAGATAAACACTAGCTGGGCCTGGTGGCTCCCACCTGTAATCTCAGCTACACTGTAGGCTGAGGTGTCTCTGGAGTCTCTTTAGACCTGTGAAGCAATGTATTGTCAGTGATACAGAACTAGGAGAAATCTTTCTTCAATTCTCTGATTTAGCCATCTGTTCATAATACTGAAAATAATTGACCTGTAAGTATGATATTATTAAAAACTACATATTTCCATTTATGCCCAAGGACATTATTTAGAAATCTGATAGTAAAAATAATCTCAAATTTTGGCAAAGGAAATTGTAGTAGGAACTCGACTATGGTTTCCAGCAATGACTATGTTATTTGAATATTGTTCTTGAATATTGTTTTTGAATATCTTGACTAACTCTGGAGGCTGAAGTGGGAGGACTGCTTGAAGCCAGGAGTTCAACAGCAGCCTGGGCAACATAAAGACCCTCCATCTCTAAAATAATAGTGATAAACACTCAAAAAAGACACAGATATGATCGGCTCCTCTTGAATTCTATTTCTCCACAGTATATATAAGGAACACAACTTTACTGTTAGGTCCTCATAAAAAAGATATAATTATGAAACTATGAATCAAAATAGTCCCTCAATGTGTTTTATTTTCTATTTAAAAGCAATGCATCCATTACAGACTACTTGCAAATACAGAAATGTAGAAAAATGGAAAAATATATTCATGTCTACACCCAAAGAAAACTATCATGGATTAACCTAAATATATATAAGGACTTTTATTTTTTTCTTCATCCTACTCAAGGTAGATAAATATATTGTTTTTACTTCTTAAAAGTATCTATAATAGAAGATATAAATTGACTAGATATTTTTATTTAGTTTATACATACATATATATTTGTTCATGTATCTATCTATCTATATCTATATATATATATTTTAAGATGAAGTCTCGCTCTGTCACCCAGGCTGCAGCGCAGTGGCTCAAGCTCAGCTCGTAACTTCCGCCTCCCAGGTTCAAGAGATTCTCCTGTCTCAGCCTCTTGAGTAGCTGGGATTACATGCACCTGCCACCACACCAGGCTAATTTTTTTGTATTTTTATTAGAGATGGGGTTTTGCCATGTAGCCAAGCTGGTCTCGAACTCCTGAACTCAGGTGATCCACCCACTTCAGCCTCCCAAAATGCTGGAATTTTAAGTGTGAGCCACCACACCTGGCCTTAAATATAAATTTTTTAATTTTCATTATTTTATCCCCACACTACAATGTTGTAACTAGGTATTTTTATAATGAATGTTTTTTAAAAATAAGTAATTAAAATCTTACTACAGCCATCACAATCTAGTAATTCAAAAGAACAATGGACTCAGAGCTTTCACAATAAGGCGTTATATTAATTAGTATCAATAAATTTCTACATTTATTAAAATAAGTTTAACACAAAGACTTAAATTGAGTACACCGTTTTCAAATACGACTTTTCCCAAATGCCATACGATAGAAACCAAACAGCTCAAGAAAATCATTATTTTAGAATCATAATAAATCTATATACTATACTGAAAAAGAATATCAGCACTTCTGAAGTGGTATCTTCCCTTTTTGTTTTTTTCTTTTTTTGACAGAGTCTCACTATGTCACCCAGGCTGGAGTGCATTGATGCAATCCCAGCTCACTGCAACCTCCACCTTCTGGGTTCAAGTGATTCTCCTGCCTCAACCTCCCTAGTAGCTGGGACTATAGGCCCGTGGCACCACATCCAACTAATTTGTGTATTTTTAGTAGAGAAGGGGTTTTACCATGTTGGCCAGGCTAGTCTTGAACTCCTGGCCGCAAGTGATCTGCCCACTTTGGCCTCTCAAAGTGTTGGGATTACAGACATGAACCACTGTCCGGCCAAGACAAGTACATAACTAGTCTTAACACAGTGGAGAAAATGTCTAGAAATCCCTAACATAGGAAGAGGTAAGGGATTATTAGATGTTCATGGATGGAAGTATATCAGAGAAGACAGCCTAGAGAAGATACAGTCTAAGCTGTGCCTCGGCCTTTCAAAATGCTGGGATTATAGATTTGAGCCACCACGCCCCGCCTCAAGTGTTATCTTCTCTGATTCACAGCTTTCGTGGGTTTTTTTGTTTGTTTTGTAGTTTTTTTAGAGATGGGATTTTGCCATGTTGGCCAGGCTGGTCTCAAATTCCTGGTCTTAAATGATCTACTTGCCTCAGTCTCCCAAAGTGCTGGGATTATAGGCATGAGCCACCACACTCTGACCTGATTCACAGCTCTTAAGAAGTTTGCACTGTACTAAAAATATTTTTTTGTCCATAACATTAATCTCTAAAAAGTTTTGTAATATATTTTTAAGTATCCATCCTTAAGGTCACCAAAGAATTTTTTTCTTTTTCTTTTTTTCTTTTTCAGACAGAGTCTTGCACTGTCATCCATGCTGAGTGCAGTGGCATAATCTCGGCTCACTGCAACCTCCACCTCCCAGGTTCAAGTGAGTCTCCTGCCTCAGTTTCCCGAGTAGCTGACATTACAGGTGCCTGCCACCAGGCCTGGCTAATTTTTTGTATTTTTAGTAGAGACGGGGTTTCACTATGTTGGCCAGGCTGGTCTAGAATGCCTGACCTTGTGATCAACCCACCTCAGCCTCCAAAAGTGCTGGATTATAGGCATGAGCCACCGCACCCGGGCCACCAAAGGATTTTTTAAAAACCAAACATGGATAACTAAAAATGAAATGCAGATAAAGTTGAAAAGCCTCCAGCTTTATTAATAGAGCTTGATTCTTATCGTGCTTGGATGTTGTCACTTTAAAACAGTATCGGAAGATGCTCTGTGCATTTGCAAGAAGGAGCAACATGTTTAGGCTTGTTTTTGTAATCTTGGCTTCCTTAAATGTGTACAGCAGCTGAATCAGCCCTTTATATCACTAAAGCTAATGCAGAGCTGTGATTATATTATTGATTCAAAAGCTAAAAAAGCCTTAAGAAACTAGGAACTTGGAGTACCATCCACCTTTAAAGAAAAAGTTCATAAATAGCCTTGTCTATAAATTTTAAAACTCATATTTCAGCTGATTTTCTATATCAATTTTCCATTTAATTAATTACATAAAACATAAATATAACTCTTTTTATAAATAGAGGCACAGGGATCGCTTCAGTAGCACATATACTAAAACTGGAACAATACAGAGATTGGCGTGGCTTCTGCGCAAGGATGATATGCAAATTTGTGAAGCATTCTATATTTTTTCAAAAAAATTTTTTAAACAGAGGCACAAAAATCCGATACACTGGATGACTCCACAGCATGTCAATGTTTCTATACCTGTGGTATCTTAACTAACAAGAAAGGAGAAAGCTGGCAATTCAGACTAGGTAATATTTCATATTTTAATTTCGTGACACCCTTGGTTGAGTATTGGCCTTTCTCAAGAATGATCTGTGAGGACTCTGCTCTTATTTCTTCTACCTACAGTGGTTAAGTATAGATTTTTGTGAAAGTCTTTACTGAAACATTGTAAAACATCTCCGTGAAGAAACTTGATGAGACTATAATGATATTTTGGAATTTCTGCATGTAAAAATAAGATAAAGGATCCAATTAAGAACGGGCATTAAAACCATATAATGCATCTGGAAGCTTTCAGTTTTTCTTTTTTTAAATTATACTTTAAGTTCTGGGACACATGTGCAGAACGTGCAGCTTTGTTACATAGGTATACATGTACCATGGTGGTTTGCTGCACCCATTAACTCGTCGTCATCTACATTAGGTAATTCTTCTAATGGTTCCCCTCCCCTTGTCCCCGCCCCCCCAATAGGCCCCAGTGTGTGCTGTTCCCCTCTCTGTATCCACGTGTTCTCATTATTCAACTCCCACCTATAATTGAGAACATGTGATGTTTGGTTTTCTGTTCCTGTGTTAATTTGCTGAAAATGATGGTTTCCAGCTTCATTCATGTCCCTACAAAGGGCATCAACTCATTCTTTTTTATGGCTGCATAGTATTCCATGGAGTATATGTGCTACATTTTCTTTCTTTCTTTTTTTTTTTTCCATAGAGATGGGGTTTTACCATATTGGCCAGGCTGGTTTCAAACTCCTAACCTCAAGTGATCCGCCCACCTCAGCCTCCCAAAGTGCTGGGATTACAGGTGTGAGCCACCGCGCTGGGTCAATGTGCTACATTTTCTTTATCCATCCTATCACTGATGGGCAGTTGGGTTGGTTCCAAATCTTTGTTATTGTAAATAGTGCTTCAATAAACATATGTGTGCATGTGTCTTTATAGTAGAATCATTTATAATCCTTTGGGTATATACTCAGTAATGGGATTGCTAGATCAAATGCTTTCAGTTTTTCTTATTAGGGTATCATACAGTTAGCAATTCCTAAAAGACAAATAGGTCTTCCTATCGAGATTCTCACCTACACCAAGAGTTAAGACCCAAACCATCTTCAAAATGCTAAAGATATGATGGAAAGGCTTTTTTCCTCAACTCAGTATGTTTTTATTATTGTAAGTTAAATGCTATTTTGCCAAAATGATAAAATAGCCCTAATAATAATAATAATAATAATAATTTTTAATATGGAATGCTTCACAAATTTTCAGATCATCCTCATGCAGAAGAATTTTAATCTTTTCTGTATCGTTCCAATTTTAGTTTATGTACTGCTGAAGTACTACTAATAATTATTATTTAAGCCAATTTAAATACAATGTTAAGTTGTATTTTAAAGGCTTTATTTCTATTTCTTATTTAGCCCTCACAATATCTATCAATAATAAAATCATTTTACAGAGCTAGACAAATAACTTATTCAAATAGGTAGTAGGACTGGGATCAACAGGTCAAGGAAACGCCAGAATCTGAAAAGTTCTAAGACTGCTTGAAAATATCCTGTAAACATTTACTTTTTAAATGCTCCTTGTTAAAAGACTCACTGAAAAGTAGTATTATAAGTCTTATGGTAATTGCGAGTAGGAATTCAAGAGTGATTTACAGACAATAACAACAGTAATAAAAATGTTTACTTTTCCTTTCAAAGAAGTACAGCTTCCTCTCACCAGGGAAAGACTGAACAGAGGAAGAAGAAAAAGCAGGTGGGCAAAATGTTACGCAACAGTGATTTTTAATTATGAGTCAACATGGCTTCTATGCCAGCATTAACCACAAGGCTAATCAGCTAGGAATCCAGGATAAATAAAGAACCATGAGAGTAACTGGAAATTGTCTTTATTGCCGAAAGAAATGTTTACTTAAGGAAATTACTAGGTCAGTAATCATTGATTCGAATACTCAAAGCAACGGTGGCCAATTACTAGCTAGACACCGGCACTGAGAAAGAGAAAACTGTCGACCTGTAATTGCCATTTGTCGTATAAATTCTAAGCTATTTGGTTTAAAATGCACTCATGCGCACCCGCGGCACTAGAAAACCAGGGAGTCAAAGTCAAAGCAAATACACCATTTCAATACAGCGCATAAGACGGGAACAAAAGAGGTGGTGGAAGGAAGACAGCCACCTTTGGTTTCTCACATAAAAACTCATTATTAATCAAAACAGTGAATCAACGGCTTAAGTTCCTGTGTGTGAAAGGCAAATGGTACAGTTAATACCCGGGGGCAGGGAGGTGCTTTTTAAAAATTAGCTTTCGTCTCTTCTTCAACCCAGATCTTTGTCCCTTCGTGTTACCGATAAAGTTGGCGGTTACACGACCAAACGCCGCCAGGTATTTCGCCAGGTCGTTCACCTTTCAAGCGCCAGACACACCTGACCGCCTTAGAGGGCCGAGCCGGGGCGGGTAAGGACGAGGCCCTAGGCCCCAGGGTCGGGAAAGAGTCAGCCCCGCGGGAGGGAAGCGGAAGGTGAGGAGTGGGAAGAGGAGGACGCTGCCCCCTAGGGGAGCCGAGTCACAGGCTGGGGGCCGGGCCGGGAGGGGCGGGAGGAGGCGGCCGGTAGCGAGGCCGCGCCGTCGGGCGGGGCGGTCCCTCCAGCTGGCTCGGACCCCGGCGGGGCGGGCTGTGAACCGAGCGGCCGAGCCCAAGAGCCAGCCCAGCGGTGGCGGTGGCGGCGGCGCGGACGGGACGGGGCGTCGGCTCCTCGCCCTGACCCTCTGCTACCCCGCCCAGGCCCGGGCGCGAGTCGGAGGCGGCGGCGAAGGAAGGAGCGAGCATGGCTGAGACCCCGCCGCCGCCCACCGCTGGTGCCGAAAGTTGCAGCGAGGAGCCGGCGAGGGGCGGGGAGTGGCCGCCGGAGGAGCCGCGCCGCGCTCCCGCCGGTGGCACGGACCGAGAGAGTGAGGCGGGGCCGCCGCCCGCCTCCCCCACCGGGCAGTTGGAGCCCGACTCGCCGGTGGCCGCCCCCTTCTTCCTGCTCTACCCCGGCGATGGAGGCGCCGGCTTCGGAGCGCGCCCGCCGCCGCAGCAGCAGCGCTCCTGGAGGACCCCGCCGTCGCCCGGCTCCCCACTGCCCTTCCTGCTGCTGAGCTACCCGAGCGGCGGCGGTGGCGGCGGCAGCGGCAAGCACCGTGAGTGGTGGAGGGGCAAGGGGACGCCCGCGGGGAAGGGGGCATTCGGCTGGGGAGGGCCGGCCGGCCTCCCGCGGGGTGACCCGAGCGGGGAAGCCGGGAGGCAGGGGCTCTGGCGGCGGCCCTCGGGAAGCCGCTGTTCTGGAGCGCCCGGGTGAGGAGGCAGCGGGACGATCGCGGTCCGGGCGCCGGATTCTTTACCTCAGCGTCTCCCCAGGCCGCGGCTCTTGCCAGGCCTGGTCTTGCCTCTCTCGGGATGGGTGCTCATCTTCGCCAGCCTCCCACGTGCTTGGGCGGGGGCGACAAGCGGCCCGCCCGCGGGTCCCCCTCCACCCGGGGCTCCGTGGCCTCGGGTCCAGCGCTGAGAACCTTCCCCGAAGGAGTCGAGGAGGGGGCGGCGCCCGGAGACCCGGTGGCCCCTCTGACCCGCCTTCTTCGGGCTCCCGGCGCCGCGGCAGCGGAGTAGGTGTGGCTGCAGCGCCGCCGCCGCCAGTGCGGCCTTAGTAATACTAGTAACTAATTTTTTACGAGCGTTCCTTCCATGCTGGTAAATATGACAGATCCAGATCCGTCTCCCGGAGTGGAAAGAGAAATCCCAGCGGTGCGCGAGAAGACAGGGAGGGAATGAATGTGTGGCTTTGGAAGGGTACCTCCCAGGGTTATATCGGTTTTTGGGAAGAGGCCTCCACTTTTAAAGCCACTGTCACACGTGAGCGCTCTGAATGCAGCCGACCCACACTCCGTTCTATGTTATTTAGTACTCAACTGTTTACTGCTACTGGCAATGAGTAGAATGGCAATGAGTAGGGCCCTAGAATAGTCAATATATATAAAGACTCTTAGAGGGGGGTTAAATCTGGTTTTAAAACAAAACTCTTACAGTATGAAAATGTGGCTAACGATCCAAGGCACGCTATAAATGCCATACTTTGCTGTAGGAATTCTGAAAAGCGAGAGAAACTTGTCTGAAGTGATGAGGGAAGGCTCCTTCTCTCCCACCCTACCCCATGTATATGTGTGTGTGTGTATATATATACATTTTTTGAGACGTAGTTTTCGCTCTTGTTGCCCAGGCTGGAGTGCAATGGCGTGATCTCGGCTCACTGCAACCTCCGCCTCCCGGGTTCAAGTGATTCTCCTGCCTCAGCCTCACAAGTAACTGGGATTACAGCCATAGGCTACCGCGCCCGGCTAATTTTGTATTTTTAGTAGAGACGGGGTTTCTCCGTTTTCGTCAGGCTGATCTGGAACTCCCAACCTCAGGTGATTCTCCCGCCTCAGCCTCCCAAAGTGCTGGGATTACAAGCTGAGCCACTGCACCCGGGTACCTACCCCCTATATTTCTTAAAGCACCAATACATATCTCTGCACTGCCAAGAAACCCTGACTTCACGTTTTTTGTCCCCCCATCCGTCTTCTAGGAAAATATTAAGATTTATTGATTATTTCCTATGTGCATGTGCTTTGATGATCGTGGTTAGTAAGTTTGTGTAAACCAAATAGAATGCCACTTTTTCAGATGGAGAAACTCAATTTGTCCCAAGTACCAGCTTAAGAGAAGGAATGCAGTTGACCCAGATTCCTTTTCTGCAAAACCCATGCTCTTTAACAAGAGATCCAAAACTGAGACGGTGGATGACTGGTAGCAGTAAGGGTCCATGGGATTCAGCTGGAGGTTGTTCAGTGTTCACGTCTCCTTATGACTTCCTAATAAGTCAGTGGGCAGACACTGACCTTTGCCTACCTTAGTAAAGCCATAGTTTGTGTGTTGGAGTGTGGTCTGCACTAATGTGCAGACGGATTGTCAGCTCACTGCAGAAATGAGTCTTTTCATATAGCAGAGGAGGCAAAGATACGGATCTTCTCAAGGATACTTTGCTTTTGTTTTCTAGGAATCCTACTTTGTATTTTAAGAACCGTCTTTTTTTGTTTGTCCTAAAAAATGTTCTATTTCTGTGTAATCTACATATTAAGCATGCTACTACAAAATGAAGCTATCGTTTCTCTGTAACAGTTGTAGTACAAGGTTTGATGTAGAGGAATTTTTCAACTATTGAGCAGTATGTATCAGTTGTGGGAATTATCTGAATTTCAGTTGATTTGATTCCCTCCTCCTTAAATATTCTTTTTATGTTCTTAATTGTATAAAATAACAATATTTTGTTACTATTATCTGTTAATACTGTTGCTTAAGCTTCTCTGAAGGAGTAATGCTTAAGCAACAGTATTAACAGTATATGATCAAGATCGGGACTAGAGGACTGAAAGCTAAAGTTTTATGAACAGGATCTGAGCAGTGCAGTGGCACTACCTCAGCTCATTGCACCCTCCTCCCAGGTTCCAGCAATTCTCCTGCCTTGGCCTCCCGGGTAGCTGGGATTACGGGCGCCCACCACCATGCCCAGCTAATTTTTGTATTTTTAGTAGAGACAGGGTTTCACCATGTTGGCCAGGCTGGTATTGAACTCCTGACCTCGGGTGATCCACCCGCCTCAGCCTTCCAAAGTGCTGGGATTACAGGGGTGAGCCACTGCACCCAGCCAGTCTGGTGTTTTCTGTTAGCACATAAATTCTAGTATTTCCTCTTGGTCTTTATTTTTGAAATAGTTTATTGAGGTGTATGTACTCTCAAAAGTTACTGGGAATATACACGTACCCCACTTCCTCTGCTTTTAAAGATTAGTCACTGAGAACATTTCACATTAGCAAAAAAAAAAAATAGAAACTGTTACATGTTTTATTTAGATATAAAATTGATTCAAAATAGTTCTTGTTTTGGACTGAGTTTTGTTTTTACTTGTTATTTTTTTTTGAGAGGGAGTTTCGCTCTTGTTACCCAGGCTGGAGTGCAATGGCGCAATCTCGGCTCACCGCAACCTCCGCCTCCCAGGTTCAGGCAATTCTCCTGCCTCAGCCTCCTGAGTAGCTGGGATTACAGGCACGCGCCACCATGCCCAGCTAATTTTTTGTAATTTTTAGTAGAGACGGGGTTTCACCATGTTGACCAGGATGGTCTCGATCTCGACCTCGTGATCCACCCGCCTCGGCTTCCCAAAGTGCTGGGGTTACAGGCTTGAGCCACCGTTTACTTGTTATTTTTATATGTACTTTAGAATGTAAGCATACTTATACAAAGGACTACTCTAGATATG